TATATATATATATGTGTATATATATATGTGTATATATGTATATATATATATATGCGTATATATGTGTATATATGTATGTATATATATATATGTATATATATATATATATATACACACACATATATATAATTCTGATTTCTCCATGGAAAGAGGCTACCAGCAGATCTGTGCTGTTTCATACAAATCTCAGGATCTGTAAAAGGCATTGAAGAACAGGCTGACAGATTTTTAGTGGCATCAAACTGCTCAGAGCAGCAAAAATCAAGACTGAATGCAAAGAGCTGTCCAGGGACTGGGTGATCAGGCAATAACTGGCCCAGTAAATCACCTGATGTGAAGGTAACACCATGGGGGAGACAAAACAATCTCAGCTTTACATGGGGAGTTATGAGCTTTGGGAGTTTTCATTCACAAAAGAAATGCTGGAATTACACTCACTGGCTCCCTGAAATCCTCATCGCAGTTCCCAGCAGAAGAAAGGAAACAATAAAACCTCCTGGAATCACTGAGAAAGAAAATAAACCAGGCAAGAGGACGCAGATGTAAAAATCCATTTGTGTGCTCACACCTTGATTACTGGGGCCAGCTTTGATCTTGCCACCACAGAAATTCTGCATCTTTCATGAGCAGCACATCATAAAGATCTCTTGGCTACCTGTGGTTTTCTCTCCTGAGCAAAATTCCACACTGAAAAAGGACCCTTACCTCCTCTACTTGTCATCCAGGAATCTCAAAGCAAGGGAGGATAATTGTTAAATAGATAATTTTAAAATAGATAATCATTCAAATGGCTTTACAGCTGGTGCAGTTGAGCTTTGAGCAGCAATCCAACTTGTTCAAAATTAAATAAATGATGAAGGCAGAGGCAGAAGTGAACTCCAGGGCCTCCCCCACCTCATACACCCACTCATTCCAGCACCTAACTGGTTGTAGTGAATTATTTTCAGCCAGACACAAAAAACCCAGAGGCTGCAAAACTGTTCAGTTCCCAAGCACAAGAGAGAGAGAAAAAAAAAAAATCTATTAAAGCTGAATGAAAGGTTTGGGGAAAAAAATTGATCTGCCTGTTTGAAAAAATTAAAAATTTATAAAGTCTTAGCTCTGGGAAATATTGCAGGGCTGTTCATAGCTGGGGTCAGCTCACAGCAAAAGTTACTGAGGGAAAGAGCAGCTCTGGTGCCTCTTCTCTGCGCTTTGTCCTCTGGCCCTGCTCTGTTTGTGTGGTTCACCAACACTTTGGCAGTTTTACATCTCAAAGTGAACACAAGAAATGTGTTTTCCTTAATAAAATCAGGAGGATTGACCGATTTTATTAAAGAATTCACTTCCCTGGCATTTTTTTCCAGTCTTTGCCTCTTCTTTAGCTTCAGAGAGGGGTGTGTGATTAAAACTCACTTATGTGACTCTGAGAAAATAATTAAAAAACCCCAATGTGCTCATTTGAAGAGAAAATACCTAATAGAGTGTGTTTTTCCAGTGCTATCAGAAGTTAAATTTCAAAGCATCCAATGTGCTCAATTGTTAGTTCTGTTGTGGGATATATACAAGTCAAAATCCATTCAGGAATGAAACCAAAAACAAAAAGATGATTGCCTAAATTATCTCCCTCTGATGTTTTGTCAATAAAAATACAGGTTTCTTGCACAATATACAGAATCAGCACTTATATTCAGTTTCCTTTTTTTTTTTTCCTGCAATTGTCTCTCAAATTGTTTCCCTGTTTTCAGCCCAAGTCAATATCTGAGCTCCTTCTACACAGACAAGTAGGAAATCAATCAATCAATCAATCAATCAATCAATCAATCCAACAACTCCACTGCCTCGTTCAAGGTTTTGTACCCAAGATACAACACAAGAATGTGATCTGGAGATGGATTTGAGGGTTGCTGCCATGATCCAAGGCCTTTTTTGTGGCCAATCTTTATTTCCAGTGAGGCTTAGAGCTCCTGCATGACCCATTCCTTGTGTTACACCATCCTGTGCTGCAACACCTCAATGCACAGAGGCAAGAAAATGAGAAATCAAAACCAGTGGAAATAAATTTTGACAGAAAAAAATCCTTTAAAATAATATTTAAAACATAACTGTTTCTTTAGAAGCAAGTTTTATCCCTCTTAGAATATTCAGCACTCCAGTCATCTTGCCACTGGTTGGTGCAATGATGCTTCTGGAATACACCAAGACGTGTCCAAGAGGTAACCAAAGCTCACCTGAGCTGGACACTGAGCTCTTGGCTCTTCACTCAGGTGAGTGAAGCCAATTGTAACTTTCCCAGGTGCACAGGAACTGTAATTTCATGGAGTATTTAGAATTTCAGCTTTCAGTGTTAGTCCTCCTTTGGAAACAACACAAATTTCTTCTTGTAGCACTCGTGTCTATTTTCCCAGCAGAGGCCTGGGATAGCTGGCTCAGAGTTGTCATGGAATGGTTTGGTATGGAAGGGACCTTAAATCTCATCCAGTGCCAGCCCCTGCCATGGCAGGGACACTTTTCACCATCCCAAGTTGCTCCAAGACTTGTCCAACCTGGCCTTGGACACTTCCAGGGATCCAGGGGCAGCCACAGCTTCTCTGGGAACCTGTGCCAGGCCTCACCACCCTCACAGGGAAGAATTTATTCTAAATATCCCATTTTCATCTGCTCTCCATCATCTTCAAGCCTTTCCCCTTTTTCCCGGCGGGCTTTTGTTTTTTTTTTTTTTTCCCAAACCCCGGTTGCGGTTCCCTTTCGTTTCTTGGTTGTTTCAATTCCGGTTGTTGGGCGTTGCTTGCCGGTTTTCCCGGGTTTTTCTTTTTTTTGAATTCCTTGCTTTTTCCCTTTTTGTTGGCCGTTTTTCGTTGGGGGGGGCGGGAGGGCGGGGTTTTTTTTTTGTTGGGGCGGGGCCAAATCACATCTGAGGGCTGTGGTGTCTGACTGTGCTGCCCTGGGTGCAGATGTCAAATTCCAGTGCTCCTCATCCAGCACTTTTCACAGCAGCCTTGAAAGGGTCAGTGACTCCAATAACAGCAAGTAGCAAGTGGTGCTTCAGTCCTTGTCTCCAGTTTGAATTTATTCACATAAGGATCCAAAAAGCAAGCACGTCAAGTGGCTTTAAGGCACCGTGTGGTTGTGGGTTTTAATTAGAAACACTCCAAAAATGAACTGACAGTTTGAATAAAAATAATAATAATAAAAAAAAGCAGGGGAGCAGATTTTAGGAATCCTGAGTTGGCTGTAACAGGAGCTTTCAGATCTGCAGGTTAGGTTTTGTTTGCAGAGGGATGCTTTCCTCCCCCAGCAGTGCTCTCTGAGGGGAATAACCCTAAAGTGAGGGGAGCAAGGGCTCACCCTCAGATTTTATCAGCTCCTTTCCACCCCACAGTGCAATTAGTGCTGTTACCTCATTAGTGTTTTAATTAGGGCTCAAGTGCAGGCAGGCCAAGCTAGGAAGGTTCAATCCAGTGTCAGCTCTGGGCTCTTCAGTCACTGGCCTGGTTTAGAGGGGTCTCAAGGCTGTTCCAAATTAGAGGCAGCTATAATGACAGATATAATTCTTTATAGAAAGTGTCAGCTTCCAACTATACCGCCATCTTCTGTGTCTCTTTGGGGGTCTTTAAATATTTACAATGCTGTTCCGGAGAGAAAAAAGCCATTTTCATGGCTCTGTGGTATCTGTGAGAGATGCTACCCAATGATTTCACAGATCCTCTGGGCTACAGGGGTTATAGAAAATTCAGAGTCACAGATTTCCAGGCAATGATGTGAAACCCAAGTGCTCCAAGCATCACAAATCTACCACCTTGTGTTGTATAAATAAGATTTATTTGTGAGGTAATCTCTGTATCAATGAGGTCAATTTACTGTGAGGTGCCTTCTGGTTTTGTGATGGTTTCCTCAGCAACACAATTTGTATTTTGTATAAAACACCCATTGCTATTTGTTTCTTTAGAACATAAAGAAAAGAATTATTACATAAAAACATACTTTATAATGGATTTTTTTTTTCTTTTTCAGGCAATCTTTTTGCTGTATCTTAACAACTAAACGGGAATGATCTCTCCTGCTCTCAGAACACACACTCAGACCAGCTGCTGGGCAGCACAGAAACGTTTTTAACACTGAGTCCCACGAACAGGGCACTGAGAAGGTGAGAACATGAGGCTTCTTAGCCTTGAGAAAGATGCCAGTGGTGCCTTTTCAGGAGCATTTGCCCTTCCCCATGGGGGCTGCAGTGACATGAGGGACAACCACAGCAAACCTTGGCTCCCTAAGAGGGAGAACCCACTGAGCCCTGGGAATTCAGTGTTGGTTCATCTGCCTGGAAGAGCAGAATAATTTATTTTCAGCTTTGTCCTTACTAGCAGCTAATTAATACTTTCCATCCACACTCAGCTTTGCTTTTTTTCCTGGGAAAGCACCGCTGTGCTTCAGCTGAAGGCTCAAAATGGGCTATGAATGAGTTTCCTTCTCCCTCTGCCTAATCTTGGTTGGCACAAGAGATGGAGTGTTGGGTAAACACATAAACAGCCTGGTAAGTGTGGGCAGCACTGGGAAGGAAACTTCACAACAGGAAATGTAGAAACAAACACACAGCAGTGCTGGTGATGGAGAAAATGGAGCTGACAGTGAAAGATGCAACTCCTGACTGTGATTATTACCTTTTTCTAAATTATCTGTGTGACAGAATTGCTGTAGCTGTCATGAGCCCCAGGTGGATGAGCAGATATTGTTAATGCACCCCCTGGCTTTGAACATTTTTCCTTTCTGTCTCTCAAAACTTTGTACAAAGGCAAATAGCACTGTAGAGGGAGGAGGAAAGAATGGCCCAAACCCAAGGAAACAGCCAAAACCAAATAATTTCAATTCTTGCAGTGCTATCCACTGCGGCCACTTCAGAGAACACCTGAAGATGTTTGGCCTTGTTTGTGTCTTATTTCCATAAAAGCAGATGTGGAACATGACAAATCAAATTTTCTCTGAGTGGGAGACAGCAGTGTCCTCCCACCCACGCAAACACTTACCAGGAGAACAAGAATCACTGGCCCTTGGTAGATGTAGTCAATATATTTCCCTGGCTCTTTTCCAAACCAGCACCTGTGAAAAACAAAGCAAATAAGAAAACAATTTGTTAAGGTACATTGACTTTTTTTAGACTGCAATATGAAGGACACTTACAGAGAGGTGCTCTTTTACTCACTGCACTGTTTATATATAAATAATCAGCAAGTAATGGAATTTTCTGCTGCACATCACCTGTTGTTGGACACAGATCTGAGCTCCACTTTTCCCTTCCATTAGAACATTCATGTTCCCTCTATGGTTTTGGCTATTGCCTACGTAAATATTTACAAGAAATATGAGAACCTGCTGTACAAAGGATGCAGGAGATGTCTGGAAAAGGGATTAAAGAAATATTCTGTGCAAGAGAAAAAACCCTGTTATCCATTGCAGTGCCCAGAGACACACTGTACAAAGTAAGGGCTGCTAATTGAAGCAATGTCTCGAGTTGCATGGAAATGCTGTCTAAATAAAACACTGAATGGATAAGGAGTCATCCCATTGGCTTTGAATGAATCTGGGGACCACAGGGGACCCTGGAAGTGCTCAAAAACCATGCAGGTGTGGCACCTGGGGACATGGGTTAGTGGAGGACCTGGCTGTGCAGGTGAGTGGCTGGGCTCCACAATCTCAGAGGCCTTTTCCAACCCTAATGACTCCATGGCCACCAAAGCCAGCAGAGAGAGCAGAGCCATCACGTGAAGCCACCAAATTCCTGCTCCAGCATCCCCTTCCAAACTGCCTGGGGTGACCCAAAACAGGCTGTGAATGGACTCAGGGAAGTGGAATCACAGGTGGCCTCGGAGCAGAGGAGAGCCTGGATGTGTCACCTGTGACCGAGCACTGGCTTGACTTCCTCTAATTCCAAGTGGTTTTCTCCCTGCTGTGTTACACAACAAAAGAACCCTGTGATTTCACAGCAACCCACACTGACACTCACTTCATCCTCTTCACTGAGAATAACAAATCTACTCTGTTTATGTTGGTCAATGAATGAGAGACTGGGCTCAGGTCTGAACTCACGCCATTCCCTTTTCCTTGGGGTAGTTTTGGTCCAGGCCAAAAACTAACCAAGGCCAAAACTATTCCTGGGGAACAAATCTGGAGTTAGCAGGAGCCAGAGGACATTCCCAGTAGTCCACAAACTGCAGCACCCCTGATTTTGGAGGCTAAGGAGGTTTAATGATATGGGTGTGAATTATCCCATACTATTTGGAAGTCGAGCCCCAGGAATTAATCCAGGCCCAGCTGAATCAGTATTACAGATACAGCCACGGAGTCTGCATCCAGAATTCCACCAAGCTAAGACAGCTTTGCATTCATAATTCCTTAAGGTTGAGATCATTGGAGCTGCATATCCCTTAGGAAGTAGATTTTGCAGTTCAAGGGTCTGAAAGTTTTCTTCCCTGTCATGGATACCATCCATAACAAATCTATACTGCAAAAGTTATGCCTTCCCCATGTTTGCTGTGTGAAATAGTAATTTAGTGCCACTGGAGCCATGGAAAAAATGGTATTTCCTGAGCCAGGGAGACCACAGAGCCACATTTGCACTTTTACAAGTAGCAAGATGTAATAGGTTGCCTCAAAGATGTTGGAGCCTGTGAGACACAACCTCACAAGTGCAGGGAAGTGAACTGGGATCAGCAAAGCTCTGGCTCAGATGGGATCCTCGTGGGTCACACCATGCCCTCAAAGCCTCTCTCCAAAATGTGGAGTTTGCTAAAACAGGAGGAGCTGCTTGTCCATTGCAAGATGCTCTGAGTGGACAGGAGTGTGGAGGTACACAGCTGGAATCAGGAACACTTCAGCACCTCACAATTATTTGCCTTTTCTTGGTTCAATTCCCACATCCTTTAAGTTCCAAATGAATGAGGGAGCTTTGAATGCTTTAGAAATGTGAAAGACGTCTGCTATTCCCTGGTGCACTGAGTGTGAATTGATAATTTTGCAACTCATCTTCCAAAATTTGGGCATGAGAGCAAGACTTGGAATAAGGCACTTCCTCTAGCCAAGTTATCATCCAAGAAGAATCCCCAGGGCAGCCTTAAATGAATGAAACTGTGTTTTTGAATTCTATTTTTTTTAATGTAGCTGGAAAGACATGAAAAAAAATTACAAGATACGCCAGGGTAGGAAACAAATTTCTCCAGAACTTCCAAGATCTACATTTGAGAGAAGATTTTGAAGGGTATTTTGGGAGAACTATTTTTTATTGCCTGAAACTCAGAGAACTAAGAGAAGCAAAGAGTTCCTGGGAAGCTGGCTGCTCTAGCAGAGGGACTAATACAAAACAGACTGAGGCATGTGGCAGAACTTAGTGGGCTAGAAAAAGTCAGCAAAGAATTTGGAACTGAGTTGGTAAAGCACAAATGAGGTTCCAGGGCAAAGGCTGCTCTTGTTGCTCTTTGGAATTTAAATGTTGCTTAGCTGGAAGACCAGAATGCTGAAATTTATTATCTGAAGTCCACTGTTAGACCAAGGTTGTGCTGAGTGAAGAATTAATGTGGATTTATTTCCACACTGAGAAAACAAGGTTGTGGCCAAGGACAGACTCTGCAACACAGAACTCTCCAGGGGTGTTGCTGCCCCAAGGCTCCTTTTGTAGGTAGTGGAGAAAAAAAACCCCAGCAGCTTCCTTAGGTCTGTGTTCATCTCATTAGGTTATGAACCAGATCTATTACACTGTAATCTAAATATTTCTAATTAAATGGGGTGAGTATTGCTCAGATGAGACAGTTATTTGCCAGAAACATAATAAATGTCTGCAATTGATTAGCAATATTTCATATTTAGAGTCTTAACTGTTCCAATGAGGACTTTTAGCTAAGATACTGCAAACTGTTCTGCCAATCATCTGAACTCTTACTTTAAATCCAACACAGGCCATTGTGCCTGCAATAAAATAATTTCACAGAAAGCAAAAAGAGAAACTTAAATCAGTGACAATTATTTGGTGCATCTCTGATAATTATTTGGTGCATATGTGTGAAATATAAGCCCTTTAGCCACTTTTTATTATTTTTTTGCCTCTGGAAGGATACATAAACATCCCCTGAATATTGAAGAGGACGATTCAGCAAGACAGTTGTGGTAAGACTCAGTTGTGTAAAATACACTTCTGTTGAGTAGCACTACTTAATATTCTTCAGGGATCTCTGATAGTTCTTTATATAACCAAACCCACCACTAGGTTTTATCACTATTGTTAATTAGATCTCACTAATGTTCTTCCCCTTAACAAATGCCCATCAATGAAATTACTGCAATAGCTCTTAATAATTTGTGAGTGATTTTTTAAATTGAGATTTAACAGTATTTTTTTTTTTCTGAGTTGCCATATTTTGCTAAAGAACTGATAAACCCCAGGCAGGATATTTACCACACAACCAGTTATAGTTGCCTGACTGTCCAGAAAATGATCTCTATTAAACACAAAGATATTTATTAAATTAATATTAATAGTTATTAAAGATCTCTAATATTAAAGATCTCTATTAAACACAAATATTAAAAAGTCAGGAAGTTGCTTGAAGCATTTTTTTAATGTTCTTTTTATTTTGAGCTTTTAAACTATGATGAGCTACACAACCTGAACCCCAGCTCAACCTCCACACAACTCAAATGAATACTCAGACGGAGAAAGAGGAAATTCCCATTTTCCCTGAATTTTGGGCAGTCCCAAATAGTCTTGTAAGCTGCAGGCAGGTCCATCTGGCTGGGTCTGACCTCCTGGGAGCAGCACATGGTTCCCCCAGTGCTCAGGACAAATGGACAAAAGCTCTGACAAGGAGCAAAGTCAGGACCTTGGATTTCTGAAGAGGAACTTCCAGCTGCTTGAAGAATCAGTGGATGAGTTCCCCCTGGGAACCTGTCCTTAGGGACAGAGGAGCTGACCAGACCTGGCAGCTCTTTAGGGACGTTTTTTCTCAGGGAACAAGAGCTCTCCAATGCCACGTGCAAAAATTCAGGCAGCACAGGCAGGGAATGGGAATGGCTGAGCAAGGAGCAGCTCCTCACACCGAGGAAGAAGGAAATGCACAGCCAGGGGAAGCAGGAATATGTGACCTGGGATATGGTTTGGATGTGTATCCATTTCTTAATTTGTTTAGAGAGCCACACAAACGCAAATATTAACATCACTTACTGTTCATTTTCATAATACAGCTTGCCAATGGCCCAGGCAATGATGATTGGGCAGGGAATACCTGCAGGAGCAAAAAAAAAAAAAAAATTAGGAGTTAATCATGGATGGATGGATGTGTCCATGGTACCAAAGCAAATTCAGATTTATGTGAGGAGAGTCTGAGTTAATGAGTGGGAGATTCCAAATCATAGTCGTCCTATCTTGGTCTGATTAACACCACCACTGCTAAGATCTTTTAACTTAAAAATGAAAAAAAAAAGATAATCTTAATAAAACTTTAGTATCAGTAAGGAAAGTTAATAAAAATATTAACAAACACACATAAATGCCTATATTTCCATAGAAGTGACCAGAAGAATTTAGCTGACTTAAAGGCAGTTTTGAACCCTTTTCATTTTCCTGCAGTTGGTACAGCAGAATCTTTAAGGACAGTACTTGGAATTTGGTGTTTAGGTTTTTATTTCCCAGGCTCCAAGAAGCTTGTAAACATACTGGGATCTCTAGATGAAGCACAATTTCAAAACTTTCAACAATTTTTTTTGAGTTCAGTGTTCCTTATGAAACAGGGTTGTGAGAAAGAATAGCTTGATATCTTGAAGTATCAGAATTCTTGCTTTTTTTTTTTCTCTCTTTCTAAAGGATCCAGCTACTTTTAACTTTACAGACATCACTGCTCTCCCTAACAGTGGTTGTGTTAGGCCTTCCAAACCAGCTGGTTTGAAGGGGATTTGCTGCAGGAGGGACGTGGAAGGGAGAGGGAGTAAATGGAAGAGACCTCTTGACTCCACTCGGGTAAGGACTAGACCCATGTCAAAATTAAAAGGGGAGGTTTTTCCTCTCCATTCCCCCTTTCACTTTCACCTCAGGAAAACCCAAACAAGTCCAGGCTCGCCATCTCCATCCCCCATTCCAAACTGCAGGTTCACGTCTCTGAAACCACTGAAATCACTGAGGTGAGCGCAGGGACAGAGCCCCAGTGACTCTCACGAGACTCTGCAGTGGGAGCAACAAGACTCAAACCCCCATGGAGGAGCAGAGGTGCATTTATCTCTGACACAAATTTGTCTCTTTTAACCTTCCCACTTTCCCTTCTGTGGGAAATGGAGGCTTTGAGGAGATGGAAGGAGAGCCACGACACAGAGGGGATGGGGCTCTGCGGCAAGCACATTTCTCTCCCTCTCAAGAGTCTTCATAGAGGTGCACAGAGAGAAATGAAAGAGAAAACCATTTCTAGTTCTGCTCCTTGTTTTTCCTATGTGGAATATGTTTGGAGAATTGTTTACCTGGGGTGATGGCTTGGTTGGATTCTGGTGAGGATTGTTTAAGCCTGATGGACAATCCAACCCACTTGGGGTCTGAACTTGAGAGAGAGGGTCACGAGTTGTGTTGGAGTCAGAGAAAGTAGTATGTAGTTTTAGTATCCTCCTTTTATAGAATATATTAATGTATTTTAGCATAGTTATAATAAAGAAATCATTCAGCCTTCTGAATTGAGTCAGACATCATAATTTCTTCCCATTGGGTTCACCTGCATTTACAATAGGGCTGAGTTGCTGAGGGGTCAGCTTTAACCTCAGCAAGGAGTAGAGCAGCTCTGATCTCCTGCCCCAGCATCCCTGGTGGCTCCTGTGCCCTTCAAATGATTGTCTTTTGTTTCATCCTGTTCATCACCCTCTCAAAGGGTCTGGAGCACTCATTTCCCCATGTTCTTGGGAGGAATGGACAGAGAAAATGAAGCCATGTGCCCTCTCCTGAAGGAAAACGTTTTACTTTTCCTTGTTAAGTGAAGAATAGGTATTTGAGAATAAGACTGGTAAAAAAAAATGTGTATGAGGAGGCAGAGCAGAGCCAGAATGCACCCAAAAAGTGGCTGGAAAGGTTTATTCAGCTCACAGCACTCCTACATGAGTGATGAGAGACCCAGAGGATTCTGACAGAGGTAGGGAGTGAAAACACCAGGGATCAAACCAGTCTGGGGGAGAGCTCTGCAAGCAGCTGATCTTCCAGTTTGCTGAGAGAATTGTAAACTATTGGGGAAAAAAATTCAATCAACTCCCCAAATAACCATCTTCTTTCTACTACAACTCCTCTTCCTCCCATTTGATTTTTGGACTGAACGACATATTTTGTTTTAAAGGCTGTTTCTGCCTTCAGATCTGCAATCCAATTACTTCTGCAGAGAGGGAGAGGCCCTTCTGAACAAAATATCATTCTGCTTTCACAAAAGAAAATATTGGTGACTTTTTTCCACCTTTCTTCCTTCAACAGAAAAGAACTGCTAGATTCACTAGTTCTGTCTGACCTCAGATTTTCATTCAAGTGAACAAACTGTCTGCATGGGGCTTGTCCTGCCAAACATCTGTCTGAGTTCAAAGCATGGAGATGGTGGTTGGGAAGGATCTCTAAAGGTGTTTGCTCCAATTTTCTCCTCTGAGCCGAACCATCAATACTCACCCACCTCAGCCAGATCTTTGTCTGGCTAAATTTTTAATAACCCCAAGGTCAGAGGTCTCACAGCTTTTAAGTCACATATTTCAGTGTTCCACCATCTCCTGGTACATTTTCTGCTTTCTTAACATCCAACTGGAACCTCCCAGTCTGCAGTTTATGAGTATTGTTCCTTTTTATAACATCTGCTATTACCAAGCAGAATTTGGCTCCATCATCTTTGTAAATTATCTTCCAGATCACTCCTGGTACCAAACAGATCCCTCCTCATCTTCCTCTTTGCCAGATTAAAGCAGCTCAGCTCCTTCAGCCTCACATCACAGCTCATGTCCTTTGGATCCCTGATCCCATTTCCATCTTTGCCCCAGCTGAAACTTTGAGTAGCCCAAGGACAGTCCAAAAACTCTTTGTTTTCTGGGAACAAATCCCTCAGCAGCTGTGGGGCTGGACTGGCTGATAATGAGGCTTTTTTTTCAAGTCAGATCCTCACTTGGAAGTGTCTGTTCAGACTGAGTGGTCCAGATTTCACCCCAGGGGGATTTATAATATTTAATCTTGCCTCTCTTTGTCTTTAACACTTGAATGCCAGGTTCCACAGAACATAATTTTAACCACAAAAGGTCACTTACACCATCCAATGAAGAGAAAGACCCATTTCCTCAGTTTATCTGTGGAGTAGGTCATCACTATAGCAGTGTGTAAGTAGCAGCCTTCCACAAACATCCAGAAGAAGTTGGTCACCACAAAGTAATTGTAGACAGTGGTAATACATCGACACCAGGGCTAGAAAGGGAACAGAAAAGAATATTTTAAAATCATGGTGAGAACATTTTAAAGATTCTGTATGTCATTATTCCCTTAAAAAAAAATATAAATGATAAAATTCACTCATGGGATGCAGATTTATGCTGTGGCTTGGAATCACAATATTTTAGGTGCTGACAGGAACTCACTGATCCATCTGTACCTTCTGCTGAGACTGGCTTTGACCATAACATGCAGGATCTGCTGTACCAAACCTGTCTGGAAAATTCAGGTTCCAGAACAAGGCTCCAAGAGGAGCAGGTCATGTCAGCACAGGTGAGCTGTGTCAGTGTCATGGTCTTGCTTAATTTCCATTGAGGCACAACTGATATTTAAAGGAAAAAAAAATATTTCAAAGGCATGTTTTTATCAGCCAATTTATCCCCTCTGTTCCTGCCACTGGTGCTTCATTCTGTAAGTCACACCTGAATTTTAAGTCACATGGCACCTCCGATTTTTGCTACAGACTCAACAGGAACCTTTTGTAAAATGTGAGAAAATGTGGTTTTTTTTTTCCCCAGAGTGGCTGTGCAGTGAGAGCACAGCTGTGGGAGGCACAATTAGCTCTAAATGGGAACATCCCAGCAATAAATCACAAGGAACTGAGAGTAATTACCACAGTGCTGCTCACTTAAGTCTGGGAAAACTTCCTTCTTACCCAGCAGACATCGAGTGCACTCCCTGGGGCACAACTCTCGTTACCTGGGTTCTCTGCTATCACTGATTTTGGTCATTTTGGTCTCACCATTCTCCAGCCTTTTAACTAACTCTAGTGAAGTATTTCCAAGTTTTACCCTCAGTTAATTTTGTTTTAGCCTTCATATGCAGGAGATGCTGATGGTCTACAGGCAGCCAACAGAGCATCAGACACACCACCAAGCCCAGTAAAATTCTGAGGTTTAAGAATTTACTGGGCAAGAAGCACACTTACAAAATGACAGCCCATCCACAAGTTGTGATCACTTCTGTGTATTGAATGGGAATAAAAAGAAGAAATCTTTTGGATGTATTAACGCTATCATTTCTGTATTATTTCATTAACATTTGAAATTTAGTTTGGCTTTACACTTAAAATAGGATTAAAGCCCAAAACAACCCAGAAGAAACTTAAACATTTTGTTTTCAAATGTCTGTTTAAACCAAATTCCCTTCCCTTCCCTTCCCTTCCCTTCCCTTCCCTTCCCTTCCCTTCCCTCCCCGTTTTTGTACAAAAAGTCAATTTTTGTACATCAATTGCACATCCAAGTCATTTTTTCCTGTGTCAGAACGAAGAGGAGCTGGCTGGTGGATTGGGAAGATTTTGGGACAAACAAATACAAATAATGGTGATGAGATCTCTCTCTGCACGACTTCCATAGGAGACCAGGACAAAATGAATTTTGAGCAAGTCCTTGGTGGAGTTATATAAATTGAATAGAATTCAATAAAATTGCAAAGCTCCTTAGTTCACACCTTTCTGTTTATGTGACTGAGGATTCCTGATCCCCACATGTACCCACCATTAGGCTCCAGATAACTGCACCATTTCCTTCTTGATTTTTTTTTTTGCAAGCATTATAAACTTAATGCAAAATATTTCCACATTGATGCTTCTGTATCTGCTATTTAATCAGCACTGATCAGCGCAGAAGAGATCACATCAACAGCTAAAATAAATGATGTTAACATTCATTCTGGTGGTGTTATTTTGACTGACTTATCCCACAATCACATAACAAAGTTATCACCAACTTGTAAAAAGCACCTTTCCCAAAAAGGTTGCAGAGAAAAGATGAGTTAATGAAAACTGGAGCATGTGATGTTCCATCCTTATATTTGCAGGTTTATATTTTCATTGTCACTTTGTGCTCACATTTTAAGAGGTATTTGAGTCCTGTCTCCAACAGATTTTTCCTAAATAACTTAAAAAATCTCAATAAAGATTTGCAGCATATTCATGAGGGCAAGTCACACAGGATGAAACTGTTGACCATATAGCTCCTAAACTCCATCTTCTGGAGTGTGAGACTGCCAGAAGCACAGACAGAGCAAACACTGAATTAACAGAATTTACATTTTCTCAAAGGAGTGTCTGGGCGAGTAATAATAGAGATTTATGCACAGACATCTTTATGTGGGCACTAAGGATTTCTTTGTTTGTTTTCCCAAAGCATGGGGCTGAAGTTCAGATGTCAAATCTCACATTTGAAGAGCTAATCAAGGATGGTGAGTGCCCAGCTGACACTGAAATGAAGGCAAGCATGGAAGTCTCTCTGAGCACGTGGCTAAATGTCCCCTGAAATATCCAGACAAAGAAACTCAGCACCCTGAGCTCCAGGGCAGGGCCCTGCCACCTCCCTGCACCCACCTCATTGCTCTCGTGGATGTTGTGATCTATCATTTGAAGCAGAAACCACATCACATTCCTCAGGATGAACGTGGTGATCAAGTTCCAGTGGATAATATTCCGCAGGCATCTGATACTCCTGAGCAGGGAAACACACTGAAGTGAACATATATGATGAATATATCCACCCACACATCAATAACCGTATAAAACAAATGAGTAAATTCTGTTCATTGCACAGTTTATCCCCCTGCAATCCCTCTGTTACTCTATGAAACAGGAGATTTGTGTTTTTTGCAAAGCCACGGACAACAATTTGTCTTGACAACACAGTTGAATCAAGTCAAGCAAGTGAAACTGCTTGAATCTACTAGAAAAAATAAATCAAACATTCAAACTGTTATTTCATCCTTGGTTATTAGTTTTGCTCCCGTTCCCTCCATCTCTAGAACAACTGGAATTGATAGAAAAGCCTCAGAACAATCAGGCTGCCCTGGAGGCTGCTGAGCTGCTCACAGAAGGAGATTTAGTGATAAATATTTGTACTGGAGTGGCAAAGCTGGAATAGTTTACATTTGGTTAATTCTTGAACAGGCTCACCTGTGTGAGTCTGGATTAATGCAACACGAGAGCACAAACTGCCTGCTTTTTAATCCTGGGCTTGGCTGGCTTAAATTTTACCTTAAATGAGGCAGAGCTGCACATCCTCCTTCATCAGGAAATATTTGTGTCTGGTTTTGGTCCCTCCCCAGCCCCTATTCAGGTACAATGGAAATTATGAGCACAAAGTAAAATGTGAGCTACAGTAAGCTGGGACACAGTGCCATAAAACAAAAGTGGGCACATCTGAAATATACTTGCTGCTGGAAATGGCAGCCAGGGCATGATGCTATTGCCAGAAAATAAAGCATAACTGAGGCAAGGCAGAGTTACTTGTGACAGGTTCAGTCATTTAAGACCAGAACATTTCTCTTCTGATTCTTTGTGAACTGGTAAAGGCTGGCAAGTGCCAAGTTGCAGCGTTGCAATTACAGAATCTTCAATTAAATGATCTTTTCTCAGCAAAAAGCAAACCCCTCCATTTATGAAAATCATTTCCACGGGGGTTCAAAGAGCCAGAGCACTTTGTGGGATTTGGCAGTGGCCATATCAGGCTCCCTGCTTTCCAGGGAAGCTGCCAGAAAATGTGGGACAAACACAGAAAGTGGCTCAAAGCTGCTCAGCTGGAAGGGACTGATCGCACCCCAGGGACAACAGAATGAGAGGCACAATCCAAAAACCAAGTTTTTGTTGCCTCAGGTCTTTTGCAAGGCAAACAAGCCACTCTTCTTAATGATGAACACTATTTTCCTACCATAAAACACTCATTGTGCTGTGCTTAGGATTAAATTTGTCAGTTTTAGGGCCAGAAGGAATTCTGTGATGCCCTTCAGCCTCACAAATCTCTCAGAGATTTCAAGCAATTCAGTAAAAAACCTCAAAAAACAGAAGACCTCCCACATATGAGATACAGAGACACTCAGAGGTATAACCCTGCTAAGCCAATGTTAAAATCATCTCTGAGTTTAACAACTCAGGCTGCCAGAATGAAATTGGTATTTGGTTTGGGAGCCTCAGTGACTCATGATGAGTTAATTTGGAGAACAAATCTCCAGCTGCTCAAGCCCTTTCTCTTTTATTTAAGCTACAAACTCCAAAATGCTGCTCTCAGACATGTCAGACCCATCTCACTTTGAGAATTTCACTTTTAACAAAAGAATGAGGTTCAGGGTTTGGCTTTCAAAGAAATGAGGCAACCAAGCTGCCCATGCTGGGCTCCTGGAGAGCACCTGGCTCTGAGACATCCTGCTCAGGGCTGTCCCTGTGCCTCATCCTGCCCAAAAATGTCCTGCAGCTCCCCTTCACCTACGTGTTTTATTTACTCCCTCCAGGTCATGGATTAGCAAACGAAAGGATGAGTTTGAAACATTGCTTCTAGGGAGAGAAGGAGACAGGGGACTAAAACTAAGGAAATTCAGGTCAATCTGTGAGTTATTGAGATGAAATTAATTGCTTTTGAGAGCTTTAATCACAAAACAGATTTGGTACACTTGCCACCTGGATGTATTTCTTGGCAAAGGTAAGATAAAAGGAATGGGGAAAAAAAACTTCCTTGCTGCAGGCATCCTTTTAGATATAGCTATAGTTAGGTATTTTTTAGTTTAATCATCCCATAATCTGGAATATTACTAAATCTGGCTAGGGGAAATCTTATTGCCACAAGATTTACAGCAGGACATTGGACTGGGCAGACAGGCAAACAAGATCAAATTAAGAGTTGTAGATTTTTGGATCATAAAAAAGAGATTTTCTTCCAGGAAGATCCCAGTCATCAAAACCACATTTTCTTCTTTGACAAGCTCAGTGGACTTGATGATCTCTTCTTTCCCAACCTTAGCAATTCTATGGTTCTAAGTTTTTATCTAGTGCCTAAATGATCTTTGTGCTCCTTACTGCTTCTTGGTTCCTATTGGTTTTTATTCTTTCCCATCACTCTGCATCCTTCAGATTTTTAGTGGTGGAGGGTCTGGTCTGTTTTGGAAACCTCCAGTCTTAACAGATAATTATCAAAACGCTCCTTGTTTTCAAAAAGACCCATTTGTAGAGGGAAGGTGTGCTCCTGGTGCAAATTAAGTATATCCTGGTGTAAATTAAATTAAATATAAATGTAGCCAACAGCTGGAATTGACCAAAATGAAGCCTGAAGCTTTGGCTTTGGACGTGCAACAGGGACAGTTGGCTCTCCTGTCCCACTGCCTTTAGCAAAAGCCATATTTTGGGTATGAGAAACCTCACAGCACTGCCTCATTCCTTTTTGGAGACACTGGGTGTGTGACTTGCATGGTAAATAGGTTCTTTCACCTGCTAAAAAGCTTCCTGTCTTTGGGGCTAACAGAGCCATGAAAGATAATCTGAGAGATGTCTGAAAGTGTCACAGACTTTCTCAAATAACTCAGGCAGTGATGTGATCCCAGGCATAGAATGGTTTTAACCTTTTCCCTTTTATCTTTTTTTTTTTTTTTTT